GAAGCTTCCACCATGTTTGACAGAGTCAATCCCTGATGGCTCCAAAGATGGACCTGCTGCTGGCCAAAACTGGGCCAGTTAGAGAGGCTGGTAACACCTCTGTGATTATATATTTAAGAACAAAATCAAAACAAAGTGGGGCACAGTTTTTCCTCTAGCCAGAGAAGAGGAGGAGGTGAGAACAGGTGAGGGATCCCCTGCTGAGGGATGGAAATCTGCATGTTACCTTTGCAAGAGGGAGACAGCCATATCAGTAATTGTTGCAATTTCCTTGGATAATTTCTAAGCATTTCAGTTACTTCTCAAGAACTTAGAAATCAATTTAATCACAGTTGTGGATTTAACATGAACAAGATGCTATCGAAGAGCAGCTTGTGGATTTTGAGGAACATGCTGGCCTTACAGTTTATCTTGTAGCTAGACTCTGGCTTCCCAAGAGAACATGGAAGTTTTAGCAGCAGTAGCCTCATTTGCCTTGGCTGGGAGCAGCTCTTTTGGCTTTCTCCCTTTAATTTAAAAGGAGCATCCTCACATTTCAGCCCCTGAACTAGCCCTCTCCAAGAAAGATCTCTGCTTTCTCACCTCCACTATTATGTGTTTATGGCTAAGAAGTTCTTGAAAATAGGTTTGTCACAAAAAGGGCCATTGGTGCTGTGGAAACCTGTCTGATTGGACCCTGCTCCCTGTCTCCCTGTTTCCCTCTTTGCACAGATCAGGCATCAGGCTCCTCTCTGCAATGGGCACAGTTCAGATTGCCATGCTCCAGCCTTGAGCTCCTCTCTGGACTCAGCACATTGTGTGTGTTTGGTGATCCCCTCTGGAGTGCTGGCAGGAGGTTGAGGGGTTGGTTTTGTCTTTGCTCTCATAGCAGGATGGGATTCTGCTTGCTCGGGAGCAGGAGCATGGGTCAGATGGGTCAGCTGTACACCGAGGTGATGCATATGCTGAGAAATACCCAGGCTTTCAAAGACGCTTTCAAGGCATCCCCATTTCACTGCTGGAACACTGATGTACTTCTGGTGCAAATTCTGCTTTCTCCCTACTCCTCCTCTTGTGCACCCAGGAGTGTCATTTCAAGGGAAGTTAATGTTTCTGCACTGTTGATAAAGGCAGCTTTTCTAAAGGGGGGAGGCCTATATTTTTTGGTACCAGATACATCTATCCACTCACCCTTACACAGCTTATTTACTCTCTGGTCCAGAGGAAACAGGCAGACTGAATTTTAAATGGCAAACAGGCACCCAGATTTCCTTGGCACATCTTGGCTTTTAGGAGGAACATCTGATAAAAAAGGCAACTTTTGTCAAAGAGGTCCCTGTGCATGGCAGGGAAATATCAGTAAAAATCATGTGCTTTTGAAAACAACAGAATTCCCCTCTGCTGTGTATTTCCTTTCAATGCCTCTGTCTCCCAGAGGGAAATGGCTCCACACGTCCGAGATTGCGAGAGCCTAAATGAGTCAGATGTCCCTTTCCCTCTCAATAAGGTAGGGCAAGCTCCAGGATTTGTTATGCATCTGATTGTATCTCTAATAAACTAAATGTAATTAAAAAATAGAGCAGGGCCATTGCATTTTAACAGCTTGAAGCTTTCCCTGTAGAAGAATCATCAAACAGGGAAAGAATATGAAGATTCAGCTTCCCATCACCTGCTGGGCAGCCTCTGTCAAGATTAACAGCATCTCACCAGGTTATTAAAGTGAACATGAATACTTTGGGGGCTCTGTGGGTAGTTATGGTATCACGTTTTATTATCTTCCACTGAAATGAAATTACTTATTGTAATTGCTTGTCAGTCACAGACCAACAAATCTGACAAAGGAAAGCTTTTTTGCTGCTAACGGGGAGCAGGAACAGAAGGGAGTGGACAGACTGAGCTAAATCCTGCTCTGATTCTTTTATGGGGAAAATAGAGGAAATTAACCAGAGAGGGAGAGAAAGGGCTTCAGCTTTGCTCAGTGCCCTGATACAGCCAATTCTGGCCAAATGACCTAAACTGAGTGAGCTGCAAAGGGGGTAAGCAGCTGATCCAGGGTGGTGTGTTAGGCTGGGTGGAAGTGACTGCTTTATGGGCAGTGTATCAGACACAGCAGCTCAGCAGTTTCTTGATAACACCAACTATTATATCTCTTGGAGACAGTGCTGAGGTTTTATGCCTGGGGTGCACCACTCAGCAGGAGGCGTGAGCTTTGCACAGTGCAAAGGCCTGATTCAGACAAGAAAATGATCCATTTGGGTTGTTTGCTTTTGAGCATCTCAACCTTTTCTGTTAGATATAAAGGAAGAAGAACAGCACCTGGAAATGAGGGTGCTGGGAGCAAAGGGCACAGCAAGGGATCCCTGCAGGTATTTGGAAGTGAAGATTGCTGTACCAGAGACAGATATCCTCCTTTGAGAGCACCTCAGGAAGTGCAGCTGGCAGGACTCAGCAATCAGAATTGCATAACCTGTCTGGTGGAGGGATGAGCTGTGTTTATTTTACCTGTGGGCAGGCAGCAGTTCCAGCCCTGTGAGGAGAGCAGAGCTGGCTGCAGCTGTCGAGGCAGGGGTTGCCTTTTCCATCTTAAGAGGATCTCTCAGCTTTGCAGCAGCAGAAGGCAAAGGGCTCAAGGTGTAATTAAAATGGAAGCATCAGACAAGGCAACCAGCCTTAGTTTTGCCATTTGACATGCAATTATATGTGTTCACCAAGTAACCATGCTAGTCAGTTTGAAAACCCTATAGTAAGCCCCCTTAGCATTCACTGTAGAGGTCACTATAGGTTCCTAATAGAGGAAAAAGAAAAAAAGGCAGGTGCAATCTCAGAATCTCCAATTAAAAGAACAGCCTTGAAAGGACTGTCTCATGTGCAGCCACAGCCAGCCTCAGACAACAGGAATGGGAAAGACTGGATGAACAAGCAAATTATTCCCTATTTCCTCAGATTTCGTGCTGTGTTCTGACATTTGCAGTTCCAATTTCCAACTCAGTAGAGTTTTATTTCCTTTTGCACCCACAATGCTGGTATGTCTTCACTTTTGGAATCACTGTATTTGTAGCATCTGCAACCTTTTGCAGTATTTGAAGTAGGTAACTTCCTTCATGTACTCTGAGCTTGTCACTTCCTGTCTTCATTTGATGCCACCTCACTGCTGCTTGAGAAGAGACGCTGAACAGCTGCTGTTTATGCTCTGGCTCATTCTACTCACAAAATGCTGACTCAGGGACCAGTTAAACCAAGCCAGTTATGAGAAAAGCTGGGGAAATAGCAGCCTCTAGCTTGACCAGGGGAATAGAGGTAAACCATGGTAGTGAACATCACAGGTTGTGCTGGAAGCCCACATCACAGAGCTCACCAGCCCCAATGGCTCAGCCATGTCACAGCTGAGGGATACAATCCTGTATTTACACAATGTAAATGTACTAGAACTTGTTAGAGAATCAAGTACGTTCAGCTCTTTAATTATTGTTTTGTCTGCTGTATCTAGTTTCCTAGTGCATGAATCCCTGTCTTGAGATAGTTTTTGTTATGTAATTGGTGTTAACGATTAGTGTTCAGCATTAATTAAACAGATTGGTTTTCATTCTCAGACATTTCACTTAAGATGCCTTCAGGCTACTAGACTGGAAGGGAGTTTTTTTTTTAAGCATGTCTTCATTAGTGCTTATGTCTCTTTTATCTGCAGATGAGGATTCTCTGCTTCCTTTGCACTGCAACATCAACCAGGGTACTATCAGCTTTTCCTCCTCTCAGCAGCAGCTAAGCTCCAGTACTTTATTAGAGGCATAAAGGATGCCTAGTGATACAATTACAGCTTGTACCTTTTGTTATTTTGGTTCCTGTTCTCCTGGCTGCTTTTTGAATCATGAATGATAGATAGTATGATATTTACATACCAATTTTACAACTTAATTTTAATGTTAGCTGCATGCCATGCGCTAGTGTTTTCAGCTGAGCTCTAGGGTTTAACAATATAATTTCCTTTTTAAAAGTTTATTGTATGATAAAGTATCCAAATGTGGACAGGAAACAACTGCAAGTTTTGTTAACAATAAAGACAGGAGGACTCATTGCCATTGTTTGGACATCACTTCTAACACGAAGTGGAAATTGTAATTTAAAAACTACTGTTTTTCTACTGTCTCATGTGTGAGATACACTAAGCCATTGGGAAGGTCATCCAGAGGAGGTGATTCTATCACCTTCCTGTGTTCCTGTGGTTAATTGTCTTCATCACCAGAAATGTCAATCCTGTTTTGAGTTAGAGCCTGTGCATTTTCAGGTTTTGGTGTCTGGATCCTGTAATTTCTCTGCCTCATCTATGTAAAGTGCCCTAACCTATAGGAAGTCTTCACTTCCATAAAGATAATTGCAGGTGTCCAAGTGTTATGTCCATTTTGAATTTCAGAATGGAACTGGTTAAAACTCTGGTAATCATTAGTGAGGAGGATTAAACTGTTCTAGATTTTCATGGGTTTAGAAGATGGGATGCTTCTGTAACAAGTTAATCAATATCCTTCTCTAAGAGGCACTTGGTCTGTGGGTCTCTGATCAGAAGATCTGCTCAAATGAGCAGGGTTAGGTAGATTTTTGTGCACCAATGCTGGTTAGAGTGAAAGAAGTGCCATACTTTTCCAGGAAGGGAGACTTCTGTTATTGCTGCTTGTTACCTTCATTTCCTGCCTGGTTTTGGATTACAGATGATGAAGCTTGATGGGTCATTTTGCACTGGGTAAAGTATATAGCAATAGAGAATTCTTGTGAATGACAGGCACCCTCCTTTCTGAGGTGATCTGATCTCCACTCTACTGACTTTCAGCTGTGCTGTGCCTGCTGTTTAGAGCCATGGGCCAAGATCTCTCTTAAGAGCTTGGGTGGGACTGAGTTTAGGAAAGGGTCCAGATTTTCTGCATTCAGCAGCATCAACTATCTTCAGAGTTCCCCAGCTGACACCCATTACCCCAAAAAATGGCCTTAGGTTTTAAGGCTCAGAAGTTAATGAGGAAGGAACAACATGAAAGCAGCAACAAAGTATAGCCTTGGTTTTCTCAATATCAGGTCACAAGAGGCCACCAGGAAAAAATAATAATGCTGGCAAAACACACCTGAATGCCAGCCATTTTCAAAAATAAAGAATTCTCCTCAGCATGGCATACTTGTAAGTGTTTCATATTCTCTTGGATCTCTGTAAATCCTATAACAAATTATTCCAGCTCTTTTTTGTTCACTAAAGCATATTACGTAACACAAATGACAATCTTTCTTTTTTAGTTTCAGCCCTCCTATGACACACACAGCTTGGTCACAGAGTGGGATTCTGCTAAACACTGGTAGCTGTTTGTCAATTTGAACCTTCTTTTTAACATCTCCTTGTGCTTCTGGTCCTGACCTCTTTGAGAAGATCATATGAGTCACGAGGTAAATGTTGGGTTTGGTTTTGTGTACATGGAACAAACTACAAGGCTGGGCTACAGTTTCACCTCTTTCATAAATATCAGTCTTCATGTTCACACCTTCTATTAGCAAACCAAGGTGTGATATAATAAAATGAAGAAAGAGTTAGGCTGAGGTTCTGCTCCTTGCTCTGCCCAAACACTGTATCTTGGGCAGCCTTCACCATCATACCCAGCACCAGGGGCCTTTTCCAAGGCTCAGCTGAGTCAGCTGAGACCATTGATTTAAAATGATGAATTGACTTTTCATTGCACATGTGGGGAAGGTGATTCATCTGCTCTGAAAAATAAAGTCCTCAGGATGGAGGAAATGGCCAGGAGACATAATCCCTTCCTTATTCCCCAGTATATCTCTCCTTATTTGAAAATATTTATGTGATTTTTTAAAATACCATTTTTCTCAGAAATGAAACTGCAACTAAATACATTGTGGTGCAGATTTCAAGGCTTATTTCCTTGGTGGATAATCTTAAATTTATATTGGTGTAATGTTTTAACACTTCCAGAGTCAGTAAATTACAATTTGCTGACAGCAGTTTTTGCTCAAATATTTTTCCCTCTGTAAGGTGTCCTCCTAACAAGGGGTCTGCAATAATATTATAATTGTGTGGTATTTTAAACTGACTGTTTAAATGTGCTTTACCTTATATTAAAGTGAGTTGATATAAAGAGTGTTCTTTCAAATGCTGCTTAAAAGGACATATTTAAAGCTCCTAGAAGTACAGCTGGTTTATTTTTCCCTACTAATCAGATTAAATATAATTTACAATGTCTTTCTGTAAAGGAAAGTAGAAGACACTTTGCCTTAATTTAAGTGGAGCCTGTAGCAGTATTTAAAACAAATTAATTAGAAGTTGTTCACTTTAGAGGAGCCAGCCTGAAGCATAGATCCTCCTGCATGGGTTTATATTTCTAAAGCCTGCCTGGGAGACAAATATGTACTTCTTCAAGATGCTCCCATCCAACTCCTTCACCCTGGCAGTTTATGGTGCTGGCAAAGCAGCCCAGAAGAGCAGTGAGGGACTGGGCACACTCCAGAGTTACTGGTTTGATATTTATTACAAGGCTCCACCCTATTTTCCATCTTGGATCAGGAAATTTCATCTAGGACAGCGTGAGCATTTGTAGATAAGGCTCTTTAATGTCATATATCTTGTGGGGCTCCAGGTGTTTTTTGTACCATCATAGCAAATGCACAGCAGATCAGCAGAGTGGAGAGGAAAAGACCACACCACAGAGCAAGGTGAGCTGCTGTATCTGAAAATCCAGAGGCAATTTGAGAGTGTGGATTGCTCATCTCAGTGCTTTTGGACAAGGGCGGCGGATTTGCTCTCACTGCTTTGAGTAGTGCCTGCCTGGCTCCCTGAAGGTAATGAGGAAGCACTGCTATCCTGTCAGCTGAGCTGGAAATAAAAGGGAAATAAAACAAGTGATTCCTAAAAGTGGAAAAGGAAATACTGCTCTTGCAGGCAGCAGGTGGTGATTAAGAAACAGAGCCTGCATTTTTTAAGCACTTGATGCTCTTTGCCTGCCTGAAGACTTTTTTTCCTTTCTTTTTTCATCTTTTTTCCTTTTTTTGCAGTGTGAGATTGTGTAGTTGAGAATGCCTGACATCTCACTGCTGAGCTTGAGGGGCAAAAGCTGTGTCTGGGCCATGTTTTCAAGCAGACAATGCAAAGAATGGATGAAATGAGAGAAATAAAACAGCTGCTCCATCAAAACTCTCTCGGTCTAGTGAGGGATCCTGCATGGATAGAAGAGAGCAGAATAAGGGCCAAAGAAGTAGAGCAGCCTTGAAATTGCTCCATAGTCCTCTTCCTGTTCCTGAGGCTGGGGACACTACATTTACACCAAATGGTGTTCTCTCCAAAGGAAAACTAAATGGGGTGTGAAGAGCAATTCAAGTCCCTGGGGAAATACAAGGAAACTAAATCAGATTGAGCATGTCAAAACCATCTCAGGTGATAGAATTACAGGAGAACAAGGAAAGAGGTAGACAAATATGGGAAGGAAAACTAGCGGCTGAGTGCTTTGAAGCCTTCTGCATCAATCCAGCTGGGACCAAGGGCATCCTGACCTTCCCAGGAAGCTGCTCAAGAGATTTGTCCTCAGGGTCTTCAAAAACCAAAGCTGAAAAAGAGCTAGGCAGTAAAAATGAGGGCTGAGTTATTCAGACTGTATACTAAATGATGCTCCTAGCCCAGAATTTGGTGAAAAAGCAGATGTCATGTTCCACTATGGGGAATGGTGATGAGTTCTTTTAAAAAATCCAGAACTGAGATCACCATCATTTGTAGCTATGAGTGGGAGCAAATGGATCTAAACAACTGCAAGAAATGAATTGTCAGTGAATTGTGTCCCCTTTTAGTAGAGTGTCTCAAGATCTATGCATATTTAAAGTACCGCTTCTTTTGTGGTCTTTGCCCTGGTGCAAATTTTCTAACAGAGCCAGCTTTATTATAATTCAGAAAAAAAAAAAATCTCCTGGGGAATGCCACAGAAGCCAAATACAGGGAGTAAGAGAAAATAGATGTAGATAAAAATAGTGGGGGAAGACCACTAAAGCATCCCAAGGGACACTATTAATGATATCTTTTGGAGACATGAATGCAAGAAGAAAAAGAAGCTAGTCTCTCCTTGGGAAGCTACTTAGAGATGATATTTTGAAGAAGATTGCCTATAATTGAAAGAGACATGAAGAAAATGAGCATGAAAAAGGAGCACCCTGTAGGTGTAACCAAGCAGGTGTAAAATGAAAGTGGCAAATCTCCCAGTCTCTCCTCAGTTTCCTCCAGCTGCAGATCAGTTACAGGATAAATGGTTTAGAAGGGAATTACAGACATGAGGTATTAGAACAAAGTAACAAATACTAGAAACACAATGCATGGGACAGAAAATGAATCAAAAATACACCTGACTCATGTTGTGTGAAGATCAAGATCTGTCATCTAATTACACACCCTATGCTATGGATAAGGGATGGTACTGGAGGTGACTCCCCAAGTTTTCAGCCTGGTGTCTGTGTTCAGAGCTGGCTGCAAGCTGGTAATCATCTCCTGCAGCCAAGTGCATCTGTGAGTGTATGTGGGACAGATAATCTTTTCTTTTCCATATGTACTTGAATAAACTGTATGAACTATTATTAGAATAGGAGGGGATTCACAGGAATGAGAAATCATTTAGCCTGAACTGTAGTGAGAGTCCACAGCTTTTATGGGTCACTTTCTCTTCTGTGGCTCTAGACAGTGTGTGAGCAAACCTTCTCCACATCAATCAAAAGGTTGCCACAGGAACGTGAAAGATAGTTTTAAGCAGTTCCATTTGGAAAACAAACAAATAAAAGAATATATTGAAATAAGGCAGGAGAAGCTCTTCAGTTCCTGAGCAGTCTTGGCAGTTTTTTCTATTCCAACTCAGGGCAAGAGAAGCTCAAAAACCCAGGGAAGAAAAGATTGGTTTTCTCTGTTCAGGACACAGCATGCAAAACCTACAAGAAAGGCAGAGAATACATATGATCCCTGCAGGATAAAGGTCTTGTCTCGGTCAACATTTACTCTCTGGATGAAGGAGATGAAATCATCCCAAATGTACACAGTGCTGTTTCTCTTCTTTATCCTCATTACCTGAGGTGCAGTCTGAGGTGTTCCAAGTTGCAGTGGTGGCACAGGATTTCCCTGTGTTTCCTTCCCCAGCAGACAGCAGCAGGCCATCAAATAGGTTGCTTCAAACACACATGAGCTCCATGATATCCACATGTAATGCTGCTGAAAAGGGACTCAGAAGACAGTGAATCCCTTTGCTTATATTCTTTGTCCCAGATGGTTGATTGATTTATGAATATGGGAAATCACAAGTCCCCCAGTGACTGCCCAACAGGTAGTTTGTTTGGTTAAAAGTAGAAGAAGCTCAAAATTACCAGTCTTCCTGTTTACAGGGATTTTTTTTTTGTTAAATATTTATGTCAGATATGCTATCCTCTTCTAGAAAAAAAAATCAGCTGTCAGTGTGATTGAAAATAGCAGGGGACTCTTGCTTTTAACTGTCAATTTAGTTAAGCAAATTCAGCAGTAATTTTTTTCTAAGATGTCAGCTTTTCATTAAAAATGGCAAGTAAAGGGTGATGAAATCCTGCAGAACTTGTCCCTGGCTTTGCTGCTGCATTGCTTTTTTCTGCAAATCGAAGCAAAATTCTCTTTTGGAGCCCTCCAGCCAGAGTGCCTGTGTGTCTTATGTTCTTCTGGAGCACTGGGGCTAGGAGAACTGCTGGACTGAAAGCCATGACAGCATGGTTAGAAGAAAATCAGTTCTATAGGTTTGCCATAAATCAATGAACCAAACATCCTTTCAAGCACTGTCCAGGTGTTTTAATGCTCCTCCATTTGCAGGTGCAGAGCAGTACCTTGCAGCTTCTCTATTGCTGTGCCTGGCCTGCAGGCAGGGTTAAATCCAGCACAACGCTTTGACAGTGTGTTGGGATGTTGTTCATGTCCAAGAAGAGAGAGCAAATGCTGTTTTCAGAAGGGTTCCTGAGGCTGTGTTCATTACATGTATTTCAGGCCAGTTTCATGTATTGGCAGCCAGTTTCCCACCTGCTTCTCCTAAAGGCCCAAGGTACATGATGTCTGTAAAGCAGCCTGGGTATTTTCTATTTTTTTGGATTGTGACTCCAGCTGTGCCCAGTCTGCTGCCTCGTGCTTAAATAAGGAGTAGTTTAAATCATTGTATTATGGAGATAAAATGTATTTCAGCAAAGGCTGTGGTTTTCTTAAGAGCCTTGGAATTACATGTTTAGTCCTTTCAAATTTCAAGTCCTTTAGTGTTTAGTCCTTTCAAGTCTCAGTGAGACTTTGAATGCTCACAGATGCTTTTCAAAACTCCCCCCAAACCTCTGTCTGAATAATTCCTAGGTTTGCTGCTCCCCCCTGGTCTATCCACCTCTATCTGCACCTGCCTGCACAACATTGTATTTATTCCAGGAGGTCTCCAGGCTTTATCCAGAAGGAATGTGTCCAGAACAAGCTGAAATATTTTGGAATATGTACTGAGACATTCGAATTAGGATGAACCAGACGAGGCAACAGAAGTTACTTACAAAAGATGGCTGCTGTCTATGCTGAGATCTCTCAAACAGTGAATTTGGAAGTAATGAGGTAGTAGTGAAATTTATTCAGAATTAATGTGTTCATATAAATATTCTACAGTAAATTATTTGCCAAATAACATTCATTACTTTGCAGCAGAGGTCATATAATTGAGAAAATGTATTTGTGAATAAATTATTCAACAATTAATGTAAGATGTAACTGCTAAATTATTCACAGAGACTAATGCACCCAGTTCTAATTCATTTCCACTCTGAAAGTGGTTTTGGGTACATGTGCATTTGTCCCTGCCCATGGCAGGGGGGTTGGACTGGGTGACCTTTAATGGTTCCCTCCAACCCAAACCTTTTAGGGCTTCTGTGATATGAGTGCATGGCTCCTGCAGCCAGTAGTAAACACCATTTACTGTCTCCCTCTGCAGCTGCAGTTACTGAATTTCATCCTGTGTGGAGCCTTCCCTACAGAAATCCATAAAAAATGTTTCCACTCTGAAAGTGGTTTTGGGTACATGTGCATTTGTCCCTGCCCATGGCAGGGGTGTTGGACTGGGTGACCTTTAATGGTTCCCTCCAACCCAAACCTTTTAGGGCTTCTGTGATATGAGTGCATGGCTCCTGCAGCCAGTAGTAAACACCATTTACTGTCTCCCTCTGCAGCTGAATTTCATCCTGTGTGGAGTCTACCCTACAGAAATCCATAAAAATTCTTCTTTTTGCCTCAAATTAACTATTGCTTGCCTGGATAATTTCTCTCATTGTTGGTATTAGAAAAAAAAAAAAAGAATATCACACATACCAACTATTTTTAAATTGAATTTGATTTCAAGACCAGCATCACTGGAACTCATTATGCCACATCCCACCAGCCCAAAGTTTTTTTAAGAACCCAAACCCTCTAAGATTGCAGATCTTAACATTCTTTTTCTGTGAAAGAAGTGGTTTGACATCCATCAGCTTCAGCCTGCAAGATGATGATGTGATCCCTCAAATCAGAGATGTGCAGAAGAGACTGGAACTCTGGTTTGTTCAGGGAGAAGCAGCACTGCTTCTGCTCACCAGCATGTGCTTGTTTTTTCTCTGAGATAGAGAGGATCAGCACCTCTTTGTGATGGCACTGAAATCTGTCCCTTTGTGGAGGGCCCCCATCTCAGGGTGGGCTTGCTGGGCTCACAGGGCAGCCCCAGTGTCAGAGCTCCAGATGCTGTTTGCAGGACAGGGAAAAGGCTGGGGATTCTCCATGGCTGCTGCAGTGCCAGACAAGTTAATCAAAGTGCAGGAGGGAGATAAGAATTACATGCGTATTAAGGAGGTTAAGATGTGACAGAAAAGATGAGATTAAAAATTGGCTTTTTTTTGTAGCTAATTGTAGTCTAGGGTAACAAAAAATTGTGTGTTTCCTGAAGTAAAATGTGACTGCAGAGAAACACCAGAGACAAGCATAATAAGTTCACATAATTCAAGCCCTCATGTTTTCTCAGTTTGAGTGAGGGAGCAGCTTTGCCAGCCATGCTCACCACCTGCTCCAGAAATGTGGAGTGGGCTTCTTTAGGGGACAGCCACGGCTCCTTTAGGTAACAGGCAGCTGGAAAATGATTCCATTCTTGGCAGAGGCATCCCAGGGCACACAGGGGTCACTGAAGTTCCCTAGTTGTGTACCTTGGGGATGGCTTTTCCTTGGATTTCTTTGAACAGAGGCAGGATTTCTGGGTGCAGGTGCAGTCTTTGCCATTGGCTGTTTTGCCCAGGTGGTCTCAGGTGTGCTCCCCTCCTGTCCAGCCCTCAGCCCTTCCAGCAGCTCTTTCCCAGCCAGGATGTGTCCATTGGAGGAGGTGAAAGTCTCTCACTTTTCAATGTTTTCCTGCCTGAAGCAGCAAAGTGGATGTTGGATGCTTTGCTATCAGCAAACTCTATTTTTCTTCCAAGCTCTGTTAGAATCAATCTGCTTGCAAGTGGAGGGGAAGTGTCCTCCTCCAGACAAACCATTTTAACCTAGCCATTTTTCCTAAGAGCCAGATCTGTGTGTTTGGGAATATTTGGGAATCAGACACTTGGGAAATTTATGGCCCATAATGAGGTGGTAGGAGCAATTTTTAAGAGGAACTTCAGTGCAGATGGGATATGACAAGGCACATCCAAATACATGGACTTCCAGAAGCTGAACCTGTGGTCTTGATTTAAATCTACTTTTGGAAGTTTAACATATCTTTACATTTGACAGAGTGGAAATCTAACCTAAAGTGAGAGAATATTTTTGTTTTATTCTCTATTTCAAGGACATACTATTTTAAGATAACTGTTATCTGTAATATTCCTTACTTTATTTTACATTTTCTCCCATATATCACAACCAGAAATTTGGAACAGATCACTTGTTCCATTGACACAATTTCTTATTCCCATTGAACCAGAATGCCCAAATCTGCAGTATTCATTTACAATTTCTTTCTGTGCTGCTGAAATGTAATGAATACATAGATGCCTCAGTAGGAGACCCTGATGCCTCGCAAAATAATCATGAAAATTAACCAGCCCGAGCATAAAATGTACTCTTGCCCTTACCATGATCATATTGATATTAATCAGAAGGAAAAGAAGCTATTAACTGAGTCACAAACACTATGAAAGAAATTACTCATTTGCAGTGAGTGAGATGTTTGAGTTTTCACAACAAAACTCTTTTATGCTCTCCACAGTCACCATGGTTGCAGCTGCCCAAGTTCTACCTGCCTGTGAATGCTTTTTGACAGGCAGGGCTGGGCATGGTGGCTTGGTTCTCAGCAGTTCTGGGCCCCAGAACTGTCTCAGGATGTGCTGCTTTCCCTGTGTTGTTGTGTGAAATTTAGCAACATGTTCTGCGTGAAGAAAACATGTTAGGCTCTGGCATGTTTCACACTGCATCTCTCTGCGGTCTCCCTGAACTAAATGTGCTTTGTTTTTATGGTTGGTGGCAGGAGCAGCTGCTGATGTGTCTGGTGCTACAGCAATGAAACACCCAAATCGTGTGCCTGAGAAAAGAGATCTGGCTTGACAGAGCTCAGGCTCCAAGGTGGGTTAGTGCAGCTTAATGAATTATCCTGTGTTAGCTGAACAGCGTGTGCCTGTACCCAAAAGGTGAGTGAAAGGCGGGTCAGAAGAACTCTGACAATGTGGTTCCACGCAGCTGAGTGTGTGCCTGGCAGGAGATCAGGAGGTGGCAGTGTTCCTGTGCCACAGCACTCTTTGTGTTGCTGCCTCTTCATTCCCGGCTCTGTCTGACAGGAGGGCGTTCTGACTCCACAGAAATATACTTTTTATAATCACCTCTAAGAATATTATGACAGGCGATTAATAATCTGACAGCAAAGTGACTATTTTTAATGGCTTTAAATGAAGGCTTTAAAGCAATCCTCACTGTAATCCCATTACTGCAGGAGACGTTCGGGTTGCTCAATATGTGCTGCCTTTGCTCTGCCTTGGTGAGACCTGGGCTACCACGAGCAACACAAAAACTTCAGGGCAGAATTGACCTCCTGGGGCATGTAAATGTGACAGCAACTTGGTTATAGAATGGAGGTGAAGAAGAAGGGATTATGAGTGACCTCACCCCTGATAAATCACAGCTGTGCTAATTACCAAAGAAGAGCAGCCTTGCCCTTAATGGGTTGCAGCTGTGACTAATAAAGATAAGTGATAAAAGGGTGGGTTGGGCAGCCTGGGAGAGCCTTAACAAAGAGGGTCTGGGGGAAGAAGAAATGAAACAAGGGAGAGAGGTGCTGGTGTAGAAGATTTGCTGTGAGGTCTTTCTGGGTCTGATGGAGTTGGAGGCTGCTGTTGGAGCCTGCAGTCACAGAGGAGCCAGGTAAAAGCCTGTGGTCAGAGGCAGCAGGGAAATACTTGCACTCATATACCAGCAGGAATAGCCAGCAGTCAGGGTCAGTCAGAGAAGCCAACAGCAGGAGTTTGCTCTAGTCAGTCAGGATGGCTAAGCTGTCAAGGAAAGTAAACTGGGACCCTTTCTCACTTTGTTAAATGAGAGTCTGTGTCTTGGCTCACTTCTGCCCCTAACAAGAGGTCTACTGCAATAATGAAACACCTTAATTAGCCACAAAGGCGTGTCTGTTTGCAGAGAGAATATTATGTGTCTGAGGACAGACACCTGGTTTTTAAAGGGAGACACTGAGGTGCTTGTGGCATACTACAGTACTGATTTTCCTGTTATACTACATAAGACTTCATCCAGATTCTGCTGAAAACTGAGTTTAAATAGTCTACAAGGTGAACTTGGAGCATTTCCAGCAATATTTGTGAGATTTAGATGAGATTTTGCACAGGTGATAAGTGATTGTTGGTACAGAGGCATCCTTGGTAAGACCTAGCCTGATCAGAGGTACAGGCTTTCTCACTACTGGATTTCACCTACTTCAGTTTTCATTTGAGAATCTAAAACCTGCTGGTACTAAATCCCAGGGGAAAATGTGCCTTAGTCTTAGATGGAGCTTTTGAAAAATAATAAATAAAGTGCCTCCTTACCTTATGGAGAAAGCTGTTTAGTTTTCAGCTAAAATCGTGGTGCTTTAGCAAGATACCGAACAGTACAATAAACTGTTTTTTCCTGTGGTGTGTGCCAACACACAATCTGTGTATTTGAAAGAGGATTGTTAAAATATTTTGAATGATCATTGGTAAATGTTACATTGTACGTGGCTTAGGTCCAGGCTGTGACAGATACTGCAGCTGGCTGTGATTCAGGTAAGGAACATGAATGATTCACAAGGTTGGTGGAAGTGGAGTAAGTAATTCTTTCATCTTGATAATTTCCTCCCTGAAGCAAAGTATCTCACATGCAGTGACAGCTTTGTAAAATAGTGTGATGGCCAATAAGGATGGGGGAGCTCAGAAAAGACCTACAAAAGCAGATTTGATTTGATACAAAGGATGGAGCCTATCTCTGTCCTTTCAAAGTTTTTTTTTAATTTGTTGTTTGTTTGTTTTTTAAATTTTTCTCTTTCTCTCTGTATGTAGAGAACTGTTAGGAATGAAAGGTAGCTGGCCCAGTACACTAATATATCTGCTTTGATAATTCTGAGAGCTGTTTTATTCAGGAAGAAGATATAAAGACTTAGAACAATGTAGTTACTCGTGTAATTTGAAAACCTTGGAAAAAATCCTGAGGGGCAATAGCCTGAGGAACCAGATGCAGTTTACTTGTTTGGGAAAATATAGCCAGATATAGCTTTTATATAGCTTTCTGATGTGGCTTTATTATAAAATACCCATGTGGTTTGTTTTCAGTTGGCTGTTTTCCAGATAGAAGAGCCCTGAAATGCACTTAACATGTTTTCTACTGCTGCTGTCTGGGACCTTCTCACTTGCTTTAACAGTGTCCACAGTAAATACCTTTGCCTGAGCTAGTCCCAGAATCTGGTAGGGGTGGGATGTCATCTGTGGAGGCATCCTTGCAGCTGGCTGGAGGAGCAGGAGGAATCACTTGTGCTGCTGAACACAGGTGCGATTCATTGGCAGAAGCTGGAACTTGCCAAAGAGAAAAAAGGAGGACAGTCCCTCTGCCGGACATAGCAGAAATGGTCAGAAGCTCCTGGTCTCTATGACCATGATCACCTCAAAATTCCTGCCAGGCTAGATACTCTTGGCAGAATGATTTCATACGGAATTGACTTCAGTATCTGTTTGTACCTCCTTTTTCTCTGCTTCTCTTTGTCAGTTGGTTCTTGAGATATTGATCCTTCCTTGTTTTATTTTTTCCTTTCTTCTCCTGTTCCCCTACTCTCCTGAGACCTAATTGCAGGACATCAGCACAGTGCTTTGTAAGCCTGTAGGCTCACAGCTTTGCATTTATTCATCAAAATGCTGCTCATGTGTTTTATGAAGATGGTCAGAAACTCAGGTTTTATTTTGTACAGGGAAAGAAATAGAAGAGGCACTGGCCTTTAAGATTATCTTAGTCTATCCTTCTTACTGTCTGTAATCACAGAACTTTGTGCATTGGGGTGAAAGCTGACCTTACTGGAGAGAAAACAATGTTGCTCAGCAAATCCACTTGCAAGAAAGCTCAAAAGCAATTACACTAGGTAAACAAGAAAGATGTGGTAGATCTTGTCCCTTTTTCTAGCTGGGTACTAAATACAAAGTTGATGGGATTATTTGATTTCACATTCCCAAATTCTACTGTGTGTTATCTTTGCCAAATGACTTTCATGTAATCTTTTGTGTGCATAAGTACATGTTAACAAAAAAAGGCAATGAAAGCAAAAAACATAAAAATCAAAGTATTGCCACATGAACATTGTGATATCAGGTTTGTCATTTGTTGTGTTTTGCTTTGTTGGGATTTTTTTTCCTGTGAAATGTGAGCCTACTGGCTTGGATACTACAGGAACTCATTGTTTTTTCTCCAGAGTGCAAATTCCTAAAATACTTAATATGATACGGAAGCTGAACATCTCTTATTTGTTAAAGGAATGAAGAAAGCTTTGTGTGGTTGATTTTCACCTGAGCTAGCTGCATTTGTTTTCCTGGTTTCTATCAGCTGCCAATAAATTGGAGCAAAATGGAGGGTTCCCCTCTTTTGGAGATTCACCTGTTTTCTGATATCTTTTTGTCCTTCTGAGTTTTGTCAGCATGGACCATAAATCTCCCTGTCTCTCCCCTGTTTTAGAGGGCATGGTGAAAACTTCAGCTTTCTGCCTTGTCTTCAGTGGGTTTCTGAGCAATCAGCAGTAGAGAAGAAATTGTACAGAACTGTGTAACAACCATAATGATTCTTCATTTCACTGCAGCTGCCATCCAGGGGGGCTGTTGTCCCTAAATTCACAGCCCAGATGGTGCTGTGGCTTCTGTCCTGAAGTTTTGAGGCTCTTTAGCACTCCTTATAGCTATTTCTGAAGGAAGTAAATTACATCCTTTGTAATCAAATGTACAAGAGGAAATCAACTAGATCATTTCTCCTTTCTGCGTTTCAGGGAAAGCAAAGTACTCCAAGAATTTTAAAAAGAGTTAGAAGCACTGATTTCATGCTGGCTGTCTGGTGTGTTGTCTATTGAATGTGCCATGCTGTGTGTCCAGCTTGTACCTGTGACCTGCACTGTAACACAGTGGACCTAAAACAACTTCAAAATCTGTTGTTTGCATACCAGCCTGGCCTCATCTTCCCTGTCTGAGGACCAAGGGGTGTACCTAGGGAACAAGAGCATCTACTTTCATGTGAAATTAGGGATTTTAGATTGTTTTGCATTTCTGATTGTGAATTTGCTTCTGTTTTTTAAATATATTGAGGTTTAAAAGTCTTGCAAAACTCGTTCTCACCCAGATTTGATTGCTCATTTGTTGGTCATTACCTACTGGCATGCTGCTTGCTGTACACTGATGCTATCAGTAATATCCAGTGTAATAAGTACTCCAAGACAGGAGCTCTGGAATCAGGCCACACAAGTCCAATTTTACACCTTGGAAATGATGAGGAGGAAAATGGCACATGCATGAATCAATGCCACCTTAGGCTTGGGATGATTTTCTAAGGATTGCCATGATGGCCATTCTGCTGTAGGAATGGATGGAGGCTGTATGTTCATCTTCTACCCTTACATCCTGGAAAAAAACACATGACTATCTCAGTGCAGGAATGACATCTCCATGTGCAGCACTCTTACTGTTCATAACTGTGCTGTGCAATTGCATTTCCATTCAGTCCTGCCTGACATTTGGGCTTTTTGCAATAGGAAATTCCATAAGATGCCCACGTGCTGTGTGAAGTGGCATCTTTCATTTATTTGACACTGGCATGCTGGTAATTTCATTGCTCAAACTCATGTTCTCATATTATGAAGCAGTAGAAAAAGGAGACATGGATCATTTTCATATTATGCCCTCCACAATCATAAATAGCTTAATAAAATTGCTTCTAACTGTACTGTAAAGTGAGAATGCAGATTTAATACTGTTCTATGAAAGAAAAAAAAAGCTGTCTTTTTGTTTTAAATCCTTTAGGATGGTTACAGAAGAGAAAAGATTGGAGATGCAGTACTTCTTAATTTAATTGTAGTTGGAATGAAGTTAGATAGAACACTGTAGGTAAAATAGCTATTCAGTCAAAATGTTATTTTGTCAAAGCTGGAGGGTTTTGCAAAGGCATGTTTATTTCTAGGATCTTCTTGCTGGGGACTCCTGGGTCTGCGGCAGAAAGCAGCGTTTTACACACTGACCTCTGCTGCAAAGAACTTGTGTGAAAGTCCTTTTTGATAAGAGAGAGCAAGAAAAGGAAAAAAAAAAAGCCTTATAATTTGCAGTCCTTGAGACTTTGCACACTGCAGATCTTCATATATGTTCTTTTAGAAAAAATGTGTGAATGTATCTCTTCATTTGGAGGAAGGCAAATTTTGGCATCTTGGCATTTACCTTGAAATTAAAATTGTTGCTTTCTGCTTAGAGTATTCCTTCTTCTCTGACCTTGCTGGGGAAGTCTAGGAAGCACTGGGGAATATCTGCAGCACATTCCTGATACCTGGCTGGAAGGGGGGAGGGATGCTCAGCCAATTGTTAGGAAATATTTGTATTGGTATTTGTTTTAAAGTATCACCTAGGGGACACCAGTCACAGCTTGGATTCAGTGATGCTACAACTGCCACATTGAAGGGTTAACCTTTTCAGAGGAATCAGACTTGTAAAATAGGTGAGGTAGAAAGTGCATGAGAGGAGGGAAATGCTCTGGTGGGTTTACAGATGGGAAAAAGGAATGTGAACTTTTCTCCTATATCTTGCTGGGAGCCTGTAGTAGAATTAGAGCTGCAGATTAAAGACTGCCCAGGGTTCAGAGGAGTCCTTCAGCCTTTCCTCAAGCCTGGGGAGCTCCTCTGCCTCCCCCTGTCCTGGGGCCAGCCAGGAGGTGCCCAGCAGTGAGCCAAGGCAGGTGATGGGTATAGCAGATACTTTGTGTGTTCAATAATGTGTTTGCTTATGCCAAGTGAGATAAGCAATGCTGGCTCCCATAAAGCTCCTAATAAAATATACCACATGGGTAGTAATTGTGGTCTTTGTGCCTTGTAAATGCTCCCAAGCATCAGGGCCTTGTTTCACTAGGTGCTGTGCAAATGAAAAGCTGAATCTTGCCACTGCCCCAGCCGAAGATGCTTTCTGAGCACCTTCTTCCCCAGGAGAGGACAAGGCAGTGTGTGCAGTGATGCAGAAGGATGGTGTTAGTATGACAGTAAACTATGAATACTATGGAAATAATAGTTTATATAATAAACAAGTCATGCAATAGAAGGTAAAGACTCATTCATGAATCCCCAGCCTTTTTTTACCCTCAAATAATGGCATACTTCGGATCTTCCACCAAAAAACATCTAGCTATCATCCCCTTTCCTCTCACATTCCTTGGTGTGGAATTTTGCTCTGCTGCAGTTAGTGAGACCATCAGTGCTGATGCTGAGATTTCACCCCTGATACTTTCAGGGTGACTGAGATCTGCAATGGTTTCTGTGCAGAGAGCTGAAGGAACTGAGAGCTGGGAGGAAAGTCTGCAACCTGCTTCCCTCCCTCCTTTCTGCAGGGCGTGAGAGAAACTGCTCCTTCTCAAAATACCAACTCTTCAGATTCATTGGTGCTTTGCTTAACATGAAATAGTCTTGATTTAAGGGATATTGAAGCAGCTGGAGTCAGGTGGTTTTTAGACCTTTCTGAATTGTTTCCTAAATGTAATGTAAGTTGCAGTGAGAAATTTACAACAGTATGAGAACAGGCATTTCAAAATGTCAGGTTGTGTCTGTAAATTGCCATGTCTGGTAATAAACCCGCCTGTCAAGTAACCGGCAATCTGAGCCTGCTGGTGAATCTGATTTTGCTGTGTGCTTTCTCCTGAGTGAATCACAGGGAGAGCAAAACTGGTGATTCTTTCTTATGCTCTTAATATTTTTATTTTTGAAATTCAGGTGAAAGCGAACATGAGCTGTGAAGTTAAGTGAAACCAATTAAACACAACTAAAGAAGATAAAATTTTTAAGCTGTATCATTAAGTGTTTAAATCAAGAATTCTTTAAAGTGGGATTTGTTCTTCAAATCTGCTGCTTAACATGGTTGTATGCATAAGAAAGAGTAACCTGAAGAAATCTTCCTTTAAATATTTGGTTCACCATATATTGGGTATTATCCCTAATGAACATTTTGAGCAGACATATGGTATGATGTCTGATGGGCTTTAATTTTTCTAGCTCAGCCATCTGATCTGAAGAAGGAAGCAAAATTATAGCCATAAAACTGTACCCTCTGCTTCACCTTCCTGTTCTATTTATGATTTTTGCAGCCAGGATGCATAAACTCCAAAGTCAGCATTCAGATGGGTGGGTATATAGTTAGCTCATTTCTCTATACGTGTCCTCAGAACGGAATAGTAAATCTGGTTATTTCTGAAAACACTGTTCTGCAATAGTGTAATTATAATTCTTTCAGCATGTTTGTATTTAAATGTGGTATATAAGAGGAATGAGACCGTGTTCTTGGAGTGCTATCTCTGAAGGTCATTAGACATCAGCTGTGTTAAAACACTGAAAAGATACCAGGGGTGTAAAACCTCTGATTGGCACTTATCCAAAATTCTTTGCCCGTTGTCTGTTATTGCTTAGTCTTCCTCTTACCAGCACACAGAAAGTTGTAGCAAGGAGAATTTATAATGG